TGAGCCTCCTACGGGCCGCCCTCAGAGACCAGCAGTGGTGTCTGCAAGGTACAACACTGGTACACTTGGTGTTACCTTACCTGGGCGAAAGTCTAGTGTTACAGCTGCGAATGAGGTTTTTGTCGGTAACCAAACCGACAATTCGACACTAAACCAACATGGAATGTCGCCTGAGCAGCTTCAGGTTTTTTATATCTCAAGTCAGTGCGGAGTTCACCCGCAAGAGCTCCTCCAGTTCTGAGTCTGCCAACCCGCTTACGCCAGATCTCGTTGATCAGCAACTGTCGTCTGACAAGGCTGATGTGGACGAGCTTGGCGTAGTTTTCAACCTTCCATTAGCGCCTGAGGCGGATCCAGTGACAGACATTGGATCTGCCGATGGTCAGCTGCCGGTCACACTGTCGTCGGCGTTAGAAGCAGGGGATGATGTGGACGAAAATGAACCCGGTGCTAGCGAGGACGACGACGACAGCGGTGACGACGGCCGCGCCTTTCCTCGGCACAGGAAAGGTTCTGTTGTCGCTATGCATGCCGGATCTTCTAACCCCACCTCGAAGCGGAAGGGTAAACGCCAGAAAAAACCAGAAGGTAAGGATACATACACCCGTTGCTGATTTCTTGCTAAGGTAAGGATTCCTTGCTGATACTGTGTTGTTGCTGTTTTGTTTTATGCGCATGACTAGTCCTTACCCGTTGCTGTGTTCGTGGTGGATGTTCCTCGTGTGATTGTGATGTGGTATGGATGTGAAATGCATGGTGTTTTGCAGAAGTTGTTTAGGAAGTTGACAGAGCACAGGCTGCAGCTTCTGATCACCATCGCACGGTCGAGTTACAGCAGGAGACATTGGCGAACATTCGGCGGCAACTGGAGGAGAGCTAGCAGGCGAATCAACTGCTCCGGGCGAGCAGCTCCGCCCCAAGTTCCGCGCTGCCCTCAGCGAGCCGTAGCGTCAACACTGAGGTCAACGTTGCAAGTACTTCACGGGGCCACAATGTGGTTTGTTCAAATCTGGCGCCTGCGGTCGCACCTGGGGCGGTCGGACGATCACTGACAACCTCCGCGATTCCTGTGCCGCTCGCGCCAAACACCTGTCGCTCACTTGGCTCCCCCCTCGCTCATCCGGAATCCCCAGCACCTCGACCGGATGCTTGTGAACCTTCGACCAAGCTTCCGGAATCGCTTACCCAGCTCACCTTTTTCACGGTAAATCGTGCGCATTGATTCTGAATACCCGCCGCCGAGCTTTTGTTTATACCCTCAATGTTCCGCGCTCAACCTCGTATTCCCACCCACCCACCCCGGTACCTTATGTACCTTGATCCTATGCTCATAACCTCGTATTCCCACCCACCCACCCTCGCAATCGATGCTTGGTTGGTAGAGCCATGGATCCATACATGCTTGCCTTCAACCGATATCTTGCACTTTGCATTTCCGTCTTGTGCATGGCAGGCAAAGTGGAACCAAGCGGTTCTTTACTTCATTGCTGAGGCTCCTCCGAGGGAGATGAACTTCTGGCCTGAGCCGCAGGAGTTGAGGCAGCAACTCATCCGTACGTATCGGCTGGTGAACGTTTCCGAGGAAACGTTCAACCTTGTCATGAACTCTCACCCGGAACGGGAGAGGATTCTTAAAGACAAGGTCGGCGAGCGTCAGGGCAACCTCTTCACGCAGGTCAAGACGTAGGCACATGGGCCTGGCGGGTTCGTTAGGGAATCGAAGATTCCCATACTGGCTGCTGAGATAATGGCGCCGGTGCAGCGCCGCAACGTCCAGCAGTAACACCTTTTCTATTTCGATCGTAAGTACTCGCCTCGTTTTTTACGTTGCATGCCCCGAGCACTTCCAGACGTAATTTCCTGAGATCCGCATGTATTGTGCTTACATGGAGCGGATTTCTGTGCTTGCAGCCGTTTATGGCAGCAAGTGGCACTTCGATCCTGACACGGGGCGCCCGTTCGCCAACAAGGCGTTTGATATGGCGCTCTGCAAGGGACTTGGCGGTCACAGGGGTAAGACGATGTTTGCCAAGATCCCAGTGGTGGCAACGCTTTGCCATGTGGTGAGTTTGTTTCCCTTGCAATGTTTGTTTCCCTTGCGAACGATCCAGTTTTTGCTCGAGCACACCCTCTCTCTTTCTGCTCCCCATTCTGCTATGCACCTGTCCCTCACCGTCCTGATTTTTTCTGACACACCCTCTCTATCCCTGCTCCCCATTTTCCCATATATTTTCAAATGTACCCTGCAGGTTGAATGGCCCATGGCAAATGCGGGGAGTCGTGACACGCCTGCCCTAGATGGCAGTGACTCCAACAACATGAGGGAAGTGCGGCCGAAAGTGGGGGTGATTATTGATTGGATTAAGGATAGGTTATCCCGTGGGGATAATATCTATCGCAACACTACCCCTGCAGGCTTTCAGATGGGAGCAAACCCGTTAGTGCGCAATGTGATCGCAGGGTTTGGGGACGAGTTTGCTGGGTTGCTGCCATAAACCCAGGTTTTCTAATTGTAGTTTTGCTGCTCTAATGTATGCTCAAATTTTCTACAGTAAGTTGATAATCACAATGTGTTTTATTACTATTATTAGGGTTCTACCATTAGTTAATGATTGGGTGTTTCCAGGAAGTGAAGACCTAGTTATGGTGGCTTTTGAGTGATTGTAAACAAGGACAGTTTGGCTATTTTTATCAGAACTAGAAACAGCTGTGAATGGCCCTCTGGTTCACTGCCATTTCAACCCCAGTAAGTGGAGAACTCTGACCCCGTCGCCATGCTGATTTACAGCCAATAAGGGCCATCCCGGGTAATTAACGGTCCGGCAATTATCGACCCCAATACGGCTAAAGTCTGCCTTATTTACAGCCGGGCAATTATTGGGCATAGATACATTGTTTACAACCTGAGTATGGATGTTAACGCCCGGAAATAGACCCGACATTTTTTAGATGTCATACACGCACCACAGGCCTCTAGATATCAGGGTAAATCACCCTTATAACCCTTACTATAAGGGTGGGTTTAGGTGTTCACCCTTATTTCGCAGAGTTGTATTTTAGGGCGCACTTACACGAAAAAATGAATTTTTGTGTAACACTGATATTTCAGACCGACCTGGTGTACTTGCCCTGATGACTAAAGGTAGTGTTGGGTACAACACTGAAGCGAGTTTTCTTTGGGGGGGGGGGGGGGGGGGGGTTGGGGGGGTTCACCGACGTGATTTTTGCCTCGATTAGCGGTGATTTGCCCGAGTCACAAGAGTTGCGCGTCGCCAAGACCGTTCGCGTCGTCATAGCCACAGTATCGCCAACTGTACCCGTATCACCTGCATTTTGCCTGCCTGGCGGTGACGCGCAGCGCCACACAGATGTGCATCGTGCAGGAGAGTTCTTCTTGGTCCCTTCCTCCCTCCCCACCAGACCCCCACATACCGACCAGCCACTCTCACCCAACCCCAACCCAGTGAGTTAATTTCTCTCATCCAGTTTTCCTCCTCGTGGTCTCGTCTAGGGTTTGCACACCACGCCTTTCTGCTGATATCATAGGCCTAGCTCCAGCATCTACCTCCAAGTCCCTCGTCATGGCTGTTGACGCCAGCGGTGAAGATGACGACAAGGCGTCGTCTGGTCCAGCACTTACCCTCGCAAACGAGCCTTAGCTTTTAACAGGGCCTACTAAGCGGCTGCTTGAACTAGAGCCCGTAGTCGCCTGTACTGGAGGCTGAGACCGGGCTGGATGGAATGGGGCGTGACCTGCACCACGACGTCTGAACTGGCACCACGAAAAGCGACGACACATGTAACATATACTGCTGCTGCTGACGACTCTGATGCCAAGAAGCTGAAATCTGTTTCCGGTTAGGCACTGAAGAAGTGGCGGCAACCTGAGTCGAGTTTCACTTGCGGGGCTCGTGCATAGCAATGTTCAATGCTAGCAAGAAGGGCCCACTCAGGAGTTCCTGTACCGTACTAACTTGTGTGCTCACTGCTCAGCTTATTCTATTAAAACTAGGCGCTGGTGCTCTAGCTGCTCTGTTAGTTTGTGCCTTCTTTTATATGTACCGCTTTAATCTAAACATGAAAGGGTGAAAAAAATGTGTACACTGAAGAGTAAGAGTACCTTTCCAGCTGACACTGATAAAAAAGACTGACATGGTTGACGCACCCTTACTAAAAGACCAACTCCAGCTAACTGGTCTTCCGAGTAAGAGTGCCCCAAATCCTATCAAGAGGCCTGACGCACCAGCTCCAGTACCGAATCCAACCGTTGGCGGGCTGTGCGTGCGCTGATCAGATGAATCTCAACCAATGACGGTCGTCACGTTTTGAACGCCGATAGCGGCAGGACACTGTGCGACACATCTGGTGATGATATCTGACGGTCCTTCGGTTTGCGAAGCCATCGGAAAGTGATGGCCGTCAATACTGTTGACGCCGCCCGTCAATTGGGGAGTCTGTAGAACACTTCACTGTATATCTCAGGGCCCAGTTCGGCAGCCAGGGGGAAGCAATTTTGTAGGAAGGTTATGGGAAGGTGAGGCTCGCGTCAAACCAGGGTCAACGAATTTCGACCCTGGGTTGACTGTTCCGCGGAAAACCTGCGCCATGGGGAGCTGGCGCGGATTGGAGGGGGGGGAATTAGTACGAGGGTTTGCTCGTGTTAGGCCTCTAGCGTGATTTCGTTCACGCTCGAAAATGGCGGTGAGGAAGTAGCTTCGATTGCACGCTCTTCTTTACGTAAGGAAAGGACCACCACTACAAAGTAGTAGTCCAAAACGAGTGAACCTGATATGTAGATCACAATCCTACGGTGAATTTCGTCGCGTGCGTTCCGCTAGATTCGGCAAGCACCCCGTGACGTCCGTTGCTTCCACGTGTCTAGCTATTTGCTGTGCATTCCCACGTTTCGTATCTAGGTTTGCTCGCTAAGCCCGTAGCCTGGAGGAGATAAAAATGTCAAACTTATATGCTATAGTTTGTGTAGGTTGTAGTGGGGTAGACTATATGGTATAAGCGGCGCGCTGCCGCCCCTCGACGCAGGGAACGCAGGTAGGGGCAGGCCCCGGGGGAAGGGGAGGGAGGGACCGGGGGAGACCAGAGACAAGGACACGCGAGGCCATGCCTCGGAGACGAGGCAGGGAGGGGTGACCAAGGCGGTGGTGCCAGTGGAGAGTCTGGTGGGACAGGAGACGACACGAGCAGGGACCAGACCTGGACGCTGCAGCAAACACCTGACTCGACGCAGCTACTTGACCAGGCTCAGCACTCGAAGGGGACTCAGTAGTAAGTGTGTACAAGCTCAACCCCGGCCGACGGGTGAACGTGGCCAAGTGTCGGCCTGTCCGAGCACACGTACAGTGGGTCACCCGTTGACTCGCAGGAGTGAACTGGTCAAACCCCCCATCCTGTAAATCAGCTCCACTCACCAAGTTCGTAGAGAACGAGGGGAGGTAGAGACCGTACAGGGTGCCAGAGGGGGTTGCCGGGCACGGTAAGACAGTGGAGAAGCTAGCAAGGACAGGACCCCCAGAGGGGTCCGCCAGGGAGACTGCAACCGGCCGACTAAGTGGCGTAAGCGTAGTGCGGTCTCGAAAGAAGGAGCGGGAAGCACCCGAGTCAACGGTGAAGGTGTGTAAGGCCAAAGCCGACGTAGTACCTGAGAGAGCAGACTCACCAGCACCTGGGGCAGCAGACGCACTAGCACCTAGAGCAGCAGCCTCACCAGCACCTAGAGCAGCAGCCTCAATGCCCGGGTCAGGCGGAACACACAGGTACTAGTCACCCTCATCACTATCAGACACAGCATACATGGTAGCAAGAATAGCATCATAGTCAAGATCAAAGATAGCAACCCCCGCCCTAGACAGCTCTTCCCAGCGAGGGATCTCAGAGGCCTCAGGGAACTGGTGACGCCACGCGTCAGTCAGGCGGCCGAAGCAGCGCTAAGTGGAGAGCGGGACCCCGCACTGCTCACCAGCGCGGTCGCCGGTACGGAGGACGTAGGTGCAGGGACCAGTACCCCCACCGCGCTGACGCGCAGCGTACCACTCACGAAGCTGCTGAGGGGACAGGGTCTCACGACTACGCTGCTACTGCTGGCGCGGACCACCACCGGAGCCACTCCTCGGCGCAGAGCCGCGACCAGCTCCACCGCTGCCGCCGCCGCCTCGGCCACCTCCGCCGCCTCCGCCACCTCCGCCGCCTCCGCCACCTCCGCCGCCTCCGCTCCCTCCGCCACCGCCGCCGCCTCCACCGCCTCCACTGCTGCCACCGACACCTCCACCCCCGCCACCACTCCCACCACCACCCCCACCCCCCCCACTCCCTCCACTGCCTCCACCACCACCTCCACCGCCCCCGCCAGCCCCTCCAGCGCCCTTGCCCCCCTTGCCTTTGCCGGTGCTGCGTCTCCCGCTAGGGGCAGACGCAGCGCCGACCGACTCGAAACCAACGAGGCCGGCCGCAGCAGCAGAAGCAACAGAGGACAAGAGGGGGGAGGGGGTACACCCCTCAAAGACGTGGGTGCGAGGGTCACCACGAGAGGCTCCTACAGCGACTATGCTCTTCTCTGTTGCTAGGAGGTGCTCTTCGAGGAGGTCAACGGTGAGTGTGGTGGGGCAAACTGAGAGGAAGTGGTCCCTGACTAAGCGAAGGGAGTCAGGGAGCTGGGTGACTATGTAGTAGAGGGTGATGTACATGGGGGGGGGGGGGGGTTCTTGGCACAGAACTCAGCAGGAAGCGCAGCGCGGTAGCGAGTGTCACTAGTGCGAAGGTGCGTAATGAGGTCAGCGACTGTGGGAAAGGCAGCAAGGTCAGGGAACAGGTACGGCAGCATGAGGCGGCTAAGCGCAGCGGTGGCAGGGGAGGAGTAGCGTGCAACTACAGCGTCGTACAAGGTCTTAGCACTCTTGTACTGGCTAAAGTGCGCACGCTCAGTGGTCGGTAAGTGGCGACGCAAAGCAAGGCGGGCAGCAGCATCGCGTGTGGCCCACTGTGAGCGAACAGTGCTGTCAGCAGTAGCAAGCGGGGCAGGAGAGACACCAGAGGTGAGATCGAACAGAGAGAGTCCGTCTGCCCTATCGCGCAGTAGGAACAGCTGGAGGTCATCGACCCAGACCTCAAAGTCAACCGCACGACCCTCAGCATCAAAGGTAAGGACACTGGGGGTAGCCATGACTGCAGTGGCCTAGCAGGGAGTGATCTCACCAGTCCGAGTAAGTAGGGCCGGGGCGTGCCGGTAGGAGCAGTAGGGGCTCGACGGCAGGGCGGCTTGGCGGCTCGGCTGCTGGGCGGCTCGGCGGCTCGGCTGCTGGGCAGCTCGGCGGCTCGGCTGCTGGGCGGCTCGGCGGGTCGGTTGCTGGGCGGCTCGGCTGCTCGGCGGCTCGGCTGCTGGGCGGCTCGGCTGTCGGGCGGCTCGGCGGCTCGGTGGCTGGGCGGCTCGGCTGCTTGGCGGCTCGGTTGCTAGGCGGCTCAGCTGTTGGGCGGCTCGGTGGCTGAAGGGGCCGCTAGGGGCGGCGACGAGGCCGCGTAGGGAGGGGAGCGGCGACGGGGCCGCTAGGGGCGGCGAGGGGGCCGCGTAGGTAGGGAGGCAACGACGGGGCCGCTGAGGGCGGCGATGGGGCCGCTAGGGGCGGCGACGGGGCCGCGTAGGGGCGGCGACAGGGCCGCGTAGGTAGGGAGGCGGCGACGGGGCCGCTAGGGGCGGCGTCGGGGCCGCTAGAGGCGGCGACGGGGCCGCGTAGGGGCGGCGACGGGGCCGCGTAGGGGCGGCGACGGGGCCGCGTAGGTAGGGAGGTGGCGGCGGGGCCGCTAGGGGCGCTGACGAGGCTGCGTAGGGGCGGTGACGGGGCCGCTTAGGGGCGGCGACGGGGCCGCGTAGGTGGAGACGCGGCGACGGGGCCGCTAGGGGCGGCGACGGGGCCGCGTAGGGGCAACGACGGGGCCGCTAGGGGCGGCTACGGGGCCGCGTAGGGGCGGCGACGGGGCCGCTAGGGGCCGCGAGGGGCGGCACGGGGGGCCGTGGGAGGGGCCTCTAAGGGACCTCGACGGAAGGGCGGCCCACAAGGCGCGCCTCGGGCAGAAGCGACTCGCGCTCCGGTCTGAAAAAAAATTCAGTGGTGGGCCCAAGGAAGCGTTCCCACTAGGGAACCTGCTCTATACTATGTGAAAGAATGAGGAATGAATGAACTAGCACAAGGTTGGGTACAAGTAGGAAACCCTAGGAAACTGTACCCCATAGTGTCTACCCCACTATAGCCTTGGCAAGCTATATGATATGAGTTTGACACAAACATGCTAGACAAGTTTGGTGCCATTCGCACTACGCACTGGGAAGATATGATGTTCAAAACGATTGAGCAGGGACAACTGTGCAAGGATAGGTCGCAGCTTTATGCGGTTTTGTTTCGACATCTTATAGTTATTTCTAGCTGGGTTTCTTTTGATACTACAAACGTTTAGTACGTTGCAAGCATGCTAGACAAGTTTGGTACAATTCGCACCTCGTGATATGAAGATATAATGTTTTAAACAATTGAATTGGGAAAATTGTGCAAGGATAGGCATGAGCTAGACGTGTTGTCATTTCAACGCCTTCTTGTTGTAGGAAACAACTGATTAAACGCTTCTTGTGTGTCATGACACCAAACCACAAACGAGGCGAACTACAAATAAACAACGGTGAGTCAACCACCAGAGGTTGACAGAAAAAACAACTGCTGGAGGTTACGCGAAGGTCAAAGGTCAGCGACCTTTAACTTGACAAGTACACCGCGACGGCAAGGACAAACAATTCGCACCACATAAGAAGTTGTGCTGTTGCAAACAATTGTGTTAGAATGATATGCTCTAGCCTGTAGTGGGGTGCTCTATAGCGAGTACAACCCTTCTAGGGTTTGCTCTTTGTATCCTCATTCTTGCTAGTGCAATCCTCCTCTTTTGCCTAAACTGTCTCTTGCCTAGCTAGGGCTTTCCTAGCTATGGCTCCTAATCCTACCGCTCATTTTGACATGGTATTAGAGCAATATGCTCCTGGCCTGTGGGCCCCACCTCACTGCTTCCGCTGCTACTGCTACTCCCTGTCCACCGCGCGCCCCGTGGTGCGCGGCGTCGAAATTAGGGTTTTCAGCCCGCCGTGCGCCCCGAGGCGCACGGCAGTTTTCTGCCCGCCGTGTGCCCCAAGGCGCGCGGCGGTTTGCTGCCCGCCGTGCGCCCCGAGGCGCGCGACGGGTTTCTGCCCCGTCACTCGGCGCGTCGCCCCCAGGAGGCGCTGCGATGGGCGACGGGGACCCGTGCGTCGCCCCCCGTCGCCCGTCGTGGCCTGCGCGCGGCCCGTACAGGCTGCGCGCGGCCCGTACGGGCTGCGCCAGGCCCGCCTGCGCGCGGCTCGGGAGGGTGTGCCAGGCCCGTGGGCGGCCCGTTCATCGCTGCCACTGCCCTCCCCGCTGTCCCCCGTGCTTCTGAAGGCGCCCCACCCCTCCTTCTGCCCGTCTCCTGGATTAGGGTTTGGGGGTGAGGGGTATGGGGGTGCAGCTTCTGTGTGCCGTTCCCTGCTCCTCCTCCTCCTCCGTCTCCCTGTGATGCAGCTGCCGCTGAGGGGGGGTGGACCTGTTGGAGCCGTCGGAGTGGTACTAAGGGGGGGTGAAGGGGCAGTGGAGCTAGGGGTGAAGCAGGGGGTGTGTGTCAGGGGGGGTGGTACTGTTTGGGAAGCTGAACGGAGGTTGCCGTCGTGTCGCCAGCAGCACCTGTAGTCCGGGGAGTTGCTCCGGTAGCCCAGTTGCAGCCACCTGTGCCAGTCGCCCGTGGGTCCGTTGCTCGTCTGCCGTTACTTTTAGCCGCGGGGCCAGTTACTCCAGTAGTCCGGAGCGTTGTTCCGGTAGCCGCTGTGCCAGTGTGCCTCCTGTTGCCCGTGTGTCTGCAGCTTCAGCCGTCGCCTCCTATCTCCTCTCCTCTCACTGTCCATCCTCCTCCTCACTTGCCCGTTGTGACTACCACTAGCTTTGCTCACGATTGTGAACTTTAAACTATTGCTTCTTGAACTTGTGCTCAGAATGTGTGGTGACATTGTGATCCACCCTGAGCTTGTACTGCTTTGCTTGCTCTGCTAATTACACCCCACTTTGGCTATGGGGATGTGTCAGAATGCTATGCTCTAGCCTGTAGTGGGGTGCTCCATAGCGAGTACAACCCTTCTAGGGTTTGCTATTTGTATCCTCATTCTTGCTAGTGCAATCCTCCTCTTTTGCCTAAACTGTCTCTTGCCTAGCTAGGGCTTTCCTAGCTATGGCTCCTAATCCTACCGCTCATTTTCACAAATTGAGTAGGGAAATATATACATGGATAGTCATGCATGACATACATTATTGTTTCGATGATCCCGATGACAAGTAATAGGCATGATGCTGCAAAATTATCAACAATACAGATCGTCCACACATATCCTTCCATATTAAAATATGGGTTGTCACCATATAAATGTTAGTACTTGTCATAAAATTAGGTGGCCGTAGATACCACAAGAAGTTATGTATTTTACGTTCAAGAAAATAGTGGCATATGAAAACCAATAATGACCTTTTATCTTCCTCGTGTAGTATGATTTTGATTGATTAAGACATTTTTTTACAACGTAGGAAATCACTAGCAGAAAATGAAAGTGAAATATGTTAACGTTCTTGGAGAAAATCGTGTCCACAAGGATAAAATTGCATATGATTGTAACAATTTGTGATACTTATGGGAACAAGAAGTTGGTTTGCAAACCAATAGAGGTTAGTATCGGAACGTCAAATTGTATCGCATGTACTGTTCACCTTTTGGAAGCAGCGGAGAGACGTGATTTGTCCTTCCAACGCATTGCTGTTGCACGTCATCTCAATATTGTGCTGGTCTTGTATGAGAACACGTCATCTTTGAAGTGTTCTCTTATTGGCTAACTCTGCGTTATCAAAATTGTTGGTGAAATCGTCTCATGTGATTGGTCCCCAGTCGCCGTTGCGCGCTGGACTACATGTGGCTGGACTTTACTTTACACCCAGCATGTCAAACATTATATATGTTGTGCTTGTTTAGGCTACAGTGGGTTAGCCTATAGGGGGTACACAATTCCAGGGTTAGGTACTTGTACTGATTTCACTGTTAGTTCAACCATTTTCCTGTTCATTCATTTCAACATGGTATAGAGCAGGTCCTTCCTAGGACCGATTTTTTTTAGGGCCCACCACTACCTACCTACCTACCTACCTACCTGCGCCATAGGGCGCCTCGGATTTCACGGCCCTCTAAGGCCCCGCGAATGACCCGCCCCTTAGCGACTCGCGCGCCGCCCCTTAAGGCCCCGACGGCCCCGCGATTGCTCCTAACGGCCCCGTCGGCCCCGCGCTCACCTCCCTAGAGGCCCCCGTCGGCCCCGCGCTCGCCCTTAGCGGCCCCTTACGGCCCCGCGCTCGCCCCTAGAGGCCCCGAACGGCCCCGCGCTCGCCCTTAGTGGCCCCTTACGGCCCCGCACTTGCCTCTAGAGGCCCCGAACGCCCCCCCCCAGAACGAGCCGCCCTACCTGAGCAGCCCGAACCGAGCCACCCAGCCCGAACCGAACCACCCAGCCCGAACCGAGCCACCCAGCCCGAACCGAGCCGCCCAGCCCGCACGGAGCCGCCCGAACCGAGCCGCCCAGCCCAAACCGAGCCGCGCCGCCCTTCCCGAGCCGCGCCGCCCTACCTGAACCGAGCCGTGCCGCCCGTACTGGACCGAGCCGCCCTACCTGAGTCGCACTGCCTATTGTTTTTGGGGTGCCCCTACTGCTATTACTCCTACTACTGCTATGGCTAGCCCTCCTGTGCTAGCTTTCGATGCTGAGGGCCGCCCAGTGAAGTTCGAAACCTGGCTAGATGACCTACACCTCTTCCTATAGCTCACTGCCAAGGAGGACATCTCATTGTACGATCACGCCCTAGGCCATGCTCCTGCTCCTGCTGCTACTAATGACAGCACTGCCCGCTCACAGTGGCAGACTCGTGATGCCCACGCTCGCTTTGCTATTCGCAACTCCCTGCCGATAGATGAGCGCAAGCACTTTGGGCAGCACAAGACTGCACAGGCACTGTACACTGCTGTCGTTGCCCGCTACTCCTCACCGGCCTCTGCCGCACTAGGCCGTCTCTCTCTTCCCTACCTGTT